GGGGGGGGGGGGGGGGGGGGGGGGGGGGTGGGGAGGTGGAAGGAGGAGGAAGGAGGAGGAGAAGAGAGGAGGGGCAGGAGGAGAAGGAGGGATGAGGGGCAGGAGAAGGACCTCGATGCTCCCCTATGCTCCTCGAGGTTCCCCGATGCTCGACCAGAGCCTCCGCGCGGCGAGCCGCGTTCGCCCCCCCCCCCCCCCCGAAGAGGAGGCGCGGCCTAGCCCACAGCCCACGCCGCGGCGAGCCGCCGGCATGGAGCCCCCGGCCCCGCGCCGGGCGGCGGCGGCGCAGGCCGCGAGCTTCGGGGCGGAAGCCTCGGAAGAATGGGTACAGTGCCCAGCAGCAGTTCCCGGTTCATTCTGAACAGGACTCGCTGTGCACGCCGCCTCGGCCGGTGTGCATTTGAGGCAGGAGGCCGTCTGCCCAACAGCGGCCGCTGCTGGTTCGGGACGACATTTGCTGTTGGGCATCGTGCCCATTCTTTCCGTAATGGGGGATGACGATTAATAAATGACCGGGGGTCGTGTTCACGCGGAGGCGCCCAGGATGACGATTAGAAAAAAAACGGCCGCGGGCTGGAAAACAATTTTCTTTAATCGTTCTCCGCCAGTGAGAAAATTGTGCAGAAATGACAGAAAACTATTTTTGTATCGTTCCTCACTCATTTTTTATTAATCGTCATCCCGCATTACCCATTTCGGGCGTCCAAATCGGGGGGCCTCCAGGCGGTGCCGGGTGGCCGCGCGGCTCCTCTGGGCCCGCCTGCGGGCCCCTGGGCGTGCTCGTCGGTCCCCGGGGGGTCGCCCTCGGGACGCGGTGTACAGCCTCGGCGCCTCGCCGGGAGTGCCCGGGTCGTCCCGAACGGCCGCTGGAGGCCCGAGTTGTGGTCGGGAAGCCCGAGTCGGAGGAGGTGGAGGAGTTCTCCAAAGACCTTGGGCGACCCCTCCTCCTCCTCCTCCTCCTCCTCCTCCTCCTCCTCCTCCTCCTCCTCCTCCTCCTCCTCTTCCTCCTCCTCTTCCTCCCCCTTCCTCCTTCCTCCTTCCCCCTCCTCCTCCTCCTCCTCCTCCTCCTCCTCCTCCTCCTCCTCCTCCTCCCCCTCCTCCTCCCCCTCCTCCCTCTCCTCCTCCCCCTACTCCTCCTCCTTCTCCTGCTCCTCCTTCCCCCTCCTCCTTCTCCTCCTCCTTCTCCTCCTCCTCGTCCTCCTCCTCCCCCTGCTCGCCCTCCCCTCCTCGGGTCGCCTACAGCCCCGAGAGAAACCGTCCAGGAGGAGGGTCGGGATGGTGAGAAGCTGGCGCGATTTGGGAACTCGGGTCGCCTTCCGAGGACGTTTTGGGCGGCCGGGACCTGCAGGGCTCCTGAGCGGTGCGGTGACGAACCATGCGGTGACGGGTCTTCGGGGGCCTCGAGGGCACCGTAGGGTCTGTCACCGCGCGCTCGTTTTGGGACCATCAGAAGGCGCAGTGATATCTGAGCCAAAACATGATCGACCCACGAAACCAGCAAGAACGTTGGAAACGCGAGGCATGGCTACGTGTTCCAGACACCTAAGTGGGCGACAGGCAATTGCGATACTGAAGGTATCGATCGCAATGTACCGTGCCAAGGATTGAGCTGTGCTGCGCCGTGCATCATGCCGCGATGACATGCGTCGTGCTTTCAAGTGTTGTGGCTCAAGTCGTCCTTGGCATACGAATCCTGACCAATTGGTATGGGTCTTAAGCTCGAGCTGCCTGAGCGCATAGCTGGCCCAAGGTTGGTTGCAGTCGAAATGCGTGAGACCCTCAATCAACTCGAGCTCACGATCCGACTCAGTTCCGAAGAGGGACGAGACGACACGGGGTGCAGGGCGCATGGACGCGCCACGGAATGTGCCAGGGGCGCACTAGGGCAATGGGGGGAAACGATTAAAAAAATCCTCCCCCCCCCCGCCCCCTTAAAATGATTGAGTGGGGCGGACTAATAGAATTCAGCCGCCGGAAACTGTTTTTTTAATCGTCCGCCCCCCGGCGTTTGCTTTTGCCCCTTTGGGGGAGTTGATATTCTATTCGTCCCCCTTTGCTCGCTTGATCACCCGCGGCCGCGGGGGAGGATTGCGGAGGGGGGGCGGGGTAATTAGGGAGTAGTTGAGGGAAGGGGTTTTCGAAGAGGCGCTTGATCACCCGGTCGTGATTGCGGACGGCCGCTGGTCGTCATTGCGGACGGCCGCCGGTCGTCATTGCGGACGGCCGCGGCGATTGGGAGGTGGGGGATGAGGAGGAGGAGGAGGAGGAGGAGGAGTAGGAGGAGGAAGAGGAGGAGGGGGGAGAAGAGGAAGAGGAAGAATGAGGAGAAGGAGGAGGACGAGGAGGAGGACGAGGAGGAGGAGGAGGAGGAGAACGAAAAGGAGGCGGAGGAGGAGGAGGAGAAAGAGAAAGAGAAAGAGGAGGATAGGATAACGGCCAGCACGAACCAGCAGGACCGAAGCCGCGGCGCCTGGAGGATCGTTTTGCTCGGGCCTGTGCTGGACCCCTCCTCCTCCTCCTCCTCCTCCTCCTCCTCCTCCTCCTCCTCCTCCTCCTCCTCCTCCTCCTCTTCTTTCTCCCTCCGCTCCTCCTCACCTCTCCTCTTTCACCTCCTCTTCCTCCTCCCCTCCCCTCCTCCTCCTCCTCCTCTTCCTCCTCCTTCTCTTCCTTCTCTTTCATTTCCTCCTCCTCTTCCTCCTCTTTCTCCTCCTCCCCCTTTCGACGGCGCTTCCATCGCCGCCCACCCCAGGCCTCGGGCCTGAGCCTCCTCTGCCTCCTCTCTTCGGGGCTGAAGGGGCTGGGGAGTGCTTGCCCGATTCCAAAGGCAGGCGCTCAGGGCAGACAGCGAGAGGGCCACCCTCGTCCTTGCGGCCGGGGGGGAGGAGAGGAGGACAAACAGGAGGAGGACGAGGAGAAGGAAGCGGAGAAAAAGGAGGAGGAGGAGGACGAGGAGGAGAAGGACGAGGTGGAGGAGGAGGAGGAAAAGGAGGAGGAGGACGAGGAGGAGGAGGAGGAGGAGGAGGAGCAGGAGGAGGAGGACGAGGAGGAGGACGAGGAGGAGGAGGAGGAGCAGGAGGAGGAGGAGGACGAGGAGGAGGAGGAGGAGGAGGAGGAGGAGGAGGAGGACGAGCTCGCCCTGAAAAATCACCCCGTGCACCCCCCTGGCCCCCGCGCCCTGGATCGCCACCCCGTGCCCCCCCCCCCTGGCCTTCCAGGCAACCCGGAATTGTCAGCCCCCCCTCTGCCTGCCCTGTGCCCCCCCTCTATTGTGGGGGCGAGGAGGCCCGCGAAACATTTGTTTTAATCGTGCGCCCCAGAAAGTTTTTTGTTTAACCGTTTCCCCCCATTATGCGCCACGGGGCGCGGGACGTGTGAGGGGACCAGGCAAGGGACACGCAACGGAACGGGCAGGGACAGCGCCAGCGCCAGGGGACAAGCCAAAGAGCGTGACAGAGGACGAGCCAGGGGACGCGCAGAGGGGGAATGGGCATACGCCGTCCCGCTCTGGGGCGTTCAGAACCCGCGTGGTTTCACGCTTGTCCCGCCCTGGGACGATAGGAACCCTTGTGTTTGGAGCGTTTGGAACCAATGTGGTTTCAGGTTTGTCCCGCTCTGGGGCGTTAGGAAGCCACGTGTTTTCACGCTTGTCCCGACGAGGGGGCGTTAGAAACCCTCCTAGCCTTTTCACGCTTGTCACGCTCTGGGGCGTTAGGATCCTAACTTTTTTTATGCTCTTCCCGCCCTGGGTCGTTAGGAGCCCATGTGTTTTTTTCGTTTGTCCCGCTCTGGGGCGTGTGGAACCGATGTGTTGCCATGCCTGTCCCGCTCTGGGGCGTCACGACCCCATATGTTGTCATGCTCGTCCCGCTCCGGGGCGTTAGGACCCACGTGTTTTTCACGCTCGTCCCGCTCTGCAGGCGTTGGGATCCTATGTGTGTGTGTGTGTGTGTCACCCTTGTCCCGCTGTGGGGCATCTGGAACCTCCGTGCTGTTTACGCTTGCCCCACTCTGGGGCGTTTGGAGCCCATGTGGTTTCACGCTTGTCCCGCTCACGCTTGTCCCGCTCTGGGGCGTCAGGAGCCCAGGTGGTTTCACGCTTGTCCCGCTTTGGGGCGTAAGGAACCCAATCATTGGTGTTACGATTGTCCCGCTGTGGGGCGTTTAGAACCTACGTGTTGTCACTCTTGTCCCGCTCGGGGGGGGTTTCTCGCTGGTCATGCTCCGGGGCGTTATGAACCCTTGTGTCCTCACGCTTGTCCCGCTTTGGGGCGTTAGCAGCCCATGTGTTTTTGAACTTGCCCCGCTCTGGGGCATTGGGAGCCCATGTGCTTTCATGCTTGTCCATCTCTGGGGCGTTAGGAACCCTTGTGTTTTCACGCTTGTCCCACCCGGGGGGGGTAGGAATCCAAGTATTTTCACGTTTGTCTCGCTCTGAGGCGCTCGCGAGGGCAATCTATAAGAATACGCATGCAAGCAAGGGACTCGAGCCCCAAGAGAGGATCAATCGATAATGCAAAACAAACGTTTCGCTCGAGACATCCTCAACCAATTCTGCTACACAAGCGTTTCGCTCGTGACCTCCGCAACAAGCGGACCTGTTCACTGTATCATGTGTTTGACCGATCAGAATTGCAAACACCAGCGTTTCACGCGGGACGTTCTCGAATTTCAATCCACCGGGCCTCTTCGACCTTGTTAATCATCAAGGAGAGAGTCCGTTGGCCATCTTCGAACTTGGCACCGTGGGCGGTTCATTGTCTAAGAGAAATCCCTGTGACCACGCCGTTGCTGGAAAAAAAATTGACCCTCGAGCAGCGATCCCATGGCCAATTTAGACCCGACCGCTCCGGCTCGGTATCTTTTTGTTCGCCCGCCTCGATCTGTCTCGTTTCTGGTATGGTCCGATGTTCCGATGATGCCCCCCCGGTGCTTGCACGGCGCTCTTGTGCATCCTGGCGCAGCCAATCCGATTCGATTGCGGTTCCGTGCCGATGCAGCCAGATCCGACGCACATTCCGATGAGCATAGTTTAGCTTATTCCCATGCCCATTGGGCGCCATGGTATCTCACACGGCCCCGCCACCCCCCCCCCTGGCGGGGATCTCCCGCGTGACCCGAAGGGGTCAGGCGGAAGTGCCGAACGAAATGGGGGGATAGGGAAAGGGGGGGTTACGAAATCTGCTGCATGCAGCTGGTTTCGGCCCCGCCGCCGGGCCCATTCCTCGATGCATGGGCGCCTCCCGGCGCCGGGAGGTGCCGGGAAAACCAGCTACGTGAGCTGATTCTCTA